GCCAGAAAACCCGTTCGAGTTCATTTACTTGGCAGGGAGACAATGATCAGTGACGGAAACGCAGGTTGCCACGAGCCAGCGACAGACAGAGCTGAACTTGCCGCTTGGAATCCCCGTGTTTGCCCAACGTCGTAGAGCCACGATGTCAATGTTGTTTTTGGTGACACTTTGGAATGCGATTTCTTAACCAATATCTTTCCGTCATCTTCATACCCTGCAGAAAGCTGTGGTTGTGCCGACATCCACAGCAATCACCAAGACGACTCAGACTTTGAGGTTGAACTTAGTGTTCAACCGTTGCCCACAGAATTTCTTGAGGCTCTGCATGACGGGTTGCTTCGAAGCGCAGGTTTGCTTGTTCTGCGTGCAGGTGACATGCCCTGCCGGTTTGAAGACTTTCGTCATCGTGAACATGGTTTACATTTATTTGTTTACTTAGTTTACTTTTGCACGTATGCGGGATACGAAAAACCGGAGACCCAGACTTAGTCTTTGCAACTCCTTGCTGAGTGGTGCCGGAACGTTTCGTCCATAGGAGCTCCGCTATGGATCTGGAAGAATATCAGACCACATGGTCACAACCGTCGAATTCAGCACTTGGGATGCAGAGAAGCTAGCATGTGTTCACTGCGTTCCCCGAAGTACTCTGACACGCCAGCAGTGACGCCGGGTGATGCCTTGTGGTGCGCAGCCAGAATCCCTTGATAGTTCCCTTTTGATAACCTTTCGTTGTCTGTTTCCGCAGTGACGTTTAAAAGATCAAATCACACTTTCGCTCCTTCACCGCCGCCTCGTGCCGCCATTCTTTGCTCCTCGGCTCCCAAATCCTTCAGTCCCCAAGGCCCCTAAACTCCTAAGCCCCTGATGTGGCGCCAAACCGTTACAGGAGTACAAAATCCTTAACATGAGGCTCGAAATCTTTCTTGGGGACCCTAGCCCGCACCCACCTGGAGATTCCCTTTGATGGCCGGGCAACTAGGGTTCAGGGTTCAGGGTTTAGGGCTTAGGCTTTAGGGTTTAGGACCCTACACTCATAAAACCCTAAACCCCTTTCTACTAAATCCTAAACCCGAAACTCATAAACCCTAAAGCCCTAAACCCCTCTCCGAGGATGGCTATGAGGCTTTTGCTTTCTCTTTTCATCGGCCTGGCGCCGCTCCTGGCCGCAGAGGTCTGTGACACAGGAGCCTAGAGCCTCGGTCTTTTTGCCAAGCTATGGGTATTAAGAAGCCTTCTTGGAGGATCATGGGACTCAGTAAGTCCCATGATCCTTTAATTTTGAATCCTAAAGCCCCCTACACCAAAGAGTCCACAGCAGACAATCGTCCTAAACCTGCACCCTGAAATCCAAACCCAAATCCCCACGTGTGAAGCTTGAGGGGGGGTGCCCTTGTTACCTGCAGACAACACCCTAAGAACAATTGAAACGGGAGCCCCAAAAGGAACCCAAACCACAAACCCTTACGGAACCAAACCCCAAACCCTAAACCCCCAAAGAAGCAGCTTGAAGACAGGAGATCTTGCTTGCGCCGCTCGCGCCGGAGTGTTGCTGCAGCACAAGTCCCGTGAGCAGCCCAGGAAGATGGGAGGATCTCTGTTGTGGCGTTTTGGGGTCTAGGGTTTCAACGGGTTTAGAGTTCTACGTGTTTCAGGAGTTTGGGGGAAAAAGTTTTCGGGGCCTTCGGGTGGGTTTAGGCTATTGAGTATCCAAGTCAATGCTCTAGGGGTTTAGGTTTAGGGTCGCCAGGCAAGTTTCAAGATGCACGTGATTGATCCAGCTAAGCTCCTATCAAGGAGAGCGATATAGACAAGTCCCTGCAGCCGAGAGGGTCATGAGGTTCGCCATGAGGGTAGTTCTCTAAATTAGTGTCCTTTTTGGGGTTCTTTTTATAAGGTTGCCGTACTATATTGGGGACCCAAAATTTTAAAAAGGGACCCTTTTTTAGAGAACTACCCATGAAGCTTTCATGCCAAGTCGCAAGTTCACGATCCTTCAAGCGAGGTCAGCAACAGGCGCCTGTTTCCACAGGCCGGGCCTCGTGAGCAGAGGAACAGTGCCTGAGTACCCTAAACCCTAAACCCTAAACCCTACTTAAAGGATCATGGGACTTAGTAAGTAGGGTTATAATTAGGGTAACTATACTTATAACGCAATACCCTAAACCCTAAACCCTAAACCCAAAACTGTGTCATCATGGCAGTTGGGAGTTCATCCTGGGATCCTGCTGTCTCCTTTTCGTTCACCGGAAGCACATTCAGGCCATGAAAGGCGGCGTGTGCCCTGCAATACGATTCCGTGTATTACGCCGCGTATCATGTAGTACGGGCATGTAACATGCAAAATGCATAGAATGTTCAGATTTTGCATGCTGGTTTTATCTCCTTGTCTGGTTACCATGATTGTGTGCCAGACTGTGTCCTGCCATCTGAAGCTGCTATCTTACCAGTCTCAGAACCAGGACAAACCCCCAAAGCTTGAAAGGGAGCTAGGGTTCCTTTAAAGGGAACCAAAGGGTTCCTACATGGGTTCCTTTTAAAGGCCCCCAAACCGCGAAGCCCTCTGGCAGGGGAGGAGAGCCTCTATGGATCGGGCAGCGGCCTCACACGGGATGGGCCGGGTTTAGGGAGTAGGGTCTATAGGGTTTAGGGGATGGGGATGGGGCTTTGGGTTTTTCGGTTCTACGATTTCTGAGTGGCTGCGGTAGAGGTTGCAACATCGCCGGTTCGCGGCATTCACCGCTGTTTCTGCGGATCACCGTGACTACTGCTGCTGTACGCTTTCAGCAACACCTGACGCAGCAGGACATCTTGCCATGTTTAGTAGGCTCCCCTTTGCGAAACGCCCCATTGCGATTTTGTGCCTTGCAGCCGTTGTTGTATGAGGTCCCATGATGATCGAAGGCAAGTTTCACTACGTCTATGATCCCCAGCAGTACGTGGGCAAGTCGCAGGACGAGATGTTGCGTGCCCAGGACTTGTGCTGGAAACAGCGTTCCGCAAACTCCAAACCCCGAACCATAAACCCCCAAACCCCTAAACCCTAAACCGCACGGAGAAGCCCGAAGCAAAAGTATGCAAAGCTTCCCCAACGGCCTTCTTACGTCTCGGCCAAAGAAGTTCTACACCTCAAACCCTGAACCCGAAACCTTGAACCCCAAACCCTAACCCCCCAAACCCCTAAACCCCAAGTCCCAAACCCGAAACCCTCAACCCTAAAAGGCCCCTAAACGGCCCTAAACTCCTAAACCCTCAACCCTAAACCCTAAACCCTAAACCCTGAACCCTGAACCCTGAACCCTAAACCCTAAACCCCAAAAACGGCAGGAGGCCATCGCGGAGGCCCTGGCTGAATCGGTGGGCTTCGGCCTCGTTGCCGCGGAGATCCAGCTCCGCTGGGAGTCCACGGCCGTGCTGGCCCAGGTGCCTCCAGGAGGGTGGTTACAGGGTGGTACAGTATAGAAGATTATGGTCTATTCTGGTATATTGTCGGATAATTCTACAGTATACTATGGCATATTACAGTCCATTATAGTATGTATTACAGTATATTATAGTATCTCAAAGAAGGCCTTGTTGAGCTTCCTCCTCGGGACCGGGACCCTTCCCCGACAGAGGTGAGCAACGCGACGCCGACGACATTGGACATGCTCTGCACCTTCACCTTCCCGTGCCCCAGCGGGGCTACGCCAGAAGAGGTGACGGCGTCCATGAGAACGATTACCACCCGAAGCTTCCTGTCCATCCTTGCGCCCAAACTCGCGGGCTTGGGGCATGAGCCCTTTGCGTTTACCGCCACCTCCTTCATCGGAGCTGCCGTTACCACGGCCACCCCGAGCCCCAAGAGCTCCACCAGCTTCATCCCCATCCAAAGCACTCTGCCAGCAACCACAGAGGCACCCAAAATGGCTTTCCATCCCTGCAAGTCTCTCGAGGACTACATGCCGGAGGCAAAGATGAGCGTGCCTTGGATATACTTGGGAGTTTCCGAAAATTAGGGTATCCTATTTGGGGGTCCTGTAATAAGGATCCTACTATTTAGGGTACTATGTTTGGGTCCCCTATTTTCTGAAACCCCCACTTGGACTTCGGGCGTAAGCTCACGATCGGGCCCCTCCACCTCCCCCCCTCGCCTTCAATCAGTCGCTTTGCAAGGGCTTCAAAATTGAGAAAAGCTGAGGAATACGGCTGGTGCAACGTGGAGGGGAACACGACCCCCTCGGAATCCGAATGCCTTGCCGCAAATTGTGCCCCGTCAACATATCTTGCTTCTGCCGTAACCTGTGGCTCTTTCGCGAAACTCGTTGAGGCAGTGCCCATGGCTATCCCGATCATGCTCATTGCTACTGTGCGACGGAAGAAGGGTGTGCATTGACTGGCGGCACCTGGAAGTATCACCTCTGCAAGGAAGAGATGCAAATGCCACTTGGATGAACTCTCTCGCCGTCTCTCCTGACACCTCTGTCTCTCTCCATTTTTCACCCCTGTCTTTCTGCGTCAATGCTTTCTTGCGTTCTTTTCTGTCTGTCCCTCTTTCACTCGCTCTCTTTCTCTCACTGTCTCTCTTCCAAAGTTCGTGTTTGTGCATGAATGTATCGAGGAAAAAGCCTGTACGTAGGTGTAACGGTGGTGGCAGCGATTAATGATTAAGCTTTGGTCGTGTTTGCTTTCGAGTGTGATGAAGTCTGGCGAGAGTTGGTTGGTGATTCGAGTTTCTTCTGACGGGGGAGGGGAGCAAAGGCGACGGGGTGGCGGGACGCCGTGCTCAGGTACCAGCATGGCGAGCTTTACACCCTCTGGGAGGAGGCCACAGCACTGGGTACCTGCAACGGCGTCGTCACCAGCTGGCACTCGCACCACATCCGAACTGGAAGCAGGTCTTTTTGCGAACCCTAAACCCTAAACCCTAAACCCTCTTGAATAGCTGAAGAGCCGGACGAAGAGTCAAAGTATGGTGATTTTCTTGACAGAAGCATTCAAAAGGAGCCACGTGAGCATGATAAACAGCAGTGGCAGCCAGTTGCAGCATCGTCATCACGAGGCGCCTGAGAGGAGGATCAGGGGAAGAGCTGGATAAGGAGCAGGAGGAGGGGGGAGGGGGGAGGGGGGAGGGGAGGAGGGGAGGAGGAGGAGCAGCGGCGGTGGTGCTGATCAGTTCTATGAGAGTTTTCCTCGCCCAGGACGCTCCCAGAGTCCATGGACTGGCCTGCCCGGAAGTGCTGCGCTTCCTGGCCTCAGACGCCTCTCGGTTGGAACAGGGAGGCACCTTGAGGTTCTTCAGATCCTCTCGTGTTTGTTGGCAGAGCTCCTAAGGTTTTGTGAGCCCGCAGCCACACTCGCGACCCCTTGCAAGGCGGACTGGGGTCGGACTGGGCGATGCGTTGCTGGCTGCGTGGTGCAAGTCAGGACGCGGGTGACTTTCTCGCCGACCACGTGACAGACCAGGGCGCCCTTCTCAGACATAATATAGCCTGCCACTGCCAATACTGTTTTGGGGTTCCTTGCTATAATTATGGTATAATAAGCATAAAGGCCCCCATCTTAAGACGAGCGAGGGAATGGAGTTGCGGCCAGCATACTGTTATTATTTTTCTCGTGAATATGATGATCGTGGCAATTAGTATTGTTTTTGTCATGATATGATTATTCGATTATTATTGTTATTCGGCAGGGGTGAACACCGTTAGCTTAAGGAGGAGCTCAGCCGTCGTTGTACCTGTAGACAGCTGACAGAGCAGCAGCTGCAGCAGCAGTGACAGCTGTAGTAGTAGTAGTAGTAGTAGTAGTAGTAGCAGCAGCAGCAGAGTAGCAGGAGTAGTACTAGTAGCAGTAGTAGTCGTAGTAGTAGTAGTAGTAGTAGTAGTAGTAGTAGTCGTAGTGGTAGTGGTAGTGGTAGTGGTAGGTAGTGGTAGTGGTAGAGGTAGTAGTAGTGAGAGGACGAGGAGGAGGAAGAGGAGGAGTAACAGGTAACCGTGACTCAGCAACATGTTGACCACATTCCCAGAATCAGTTCATGAGGACCCTCAATATCAAGCTCCTCCTCTTGCGGAGTGCCGCTTCTCCTTCAACCCCCAAAAACCCTCAACAGATGTCAGGTGTAACTTGCATGGACTGGCTGCAACAGTGGTGGTCCGAGTACTGGGCGCTGAAGAATGCATCGGCCGCAGGCGCCGTTGTAGGGTTGAGCCGGGTTCTCCGGACGTGAAGTGTGCCGGGATGCCTTCAGTACTCCAGGTTCCGACCTGCAGACACTTTGGATAGCTTTTCCCATGAAGTCTGGAAACGCTTCCATTGAAGGAAGCTGCAGCGGCATGGACTTGCCGTGGGGCGAGTCGCTGCAGGCCTCCAGCTACTGCTTGTCTCGGGGTGTATGGTGGGCTTGCCTCAGCAATCAAGTACCAACCCTCCACGGCGTCTCGGGCATAATCGCACAATGGCAAGTAGCAGTAGTGGCCGAAGTAGTCCGGAGAAGTGCGAGAGCAAGCAGCGCACAATCCGCAGCCTCGCCGTCGAAGGCTCAGTGGCAGCAGCAATCGAAGGGGCACGGTTCTGCATTTCAAGTCTACTGTTTGGCAGTTGACATTGGCAGTACTAGCATTAAGAACAAGTATCGCTGTAGCCTGGGGTGCTTCGACGACTGCTACTACTGCTGCTGTTGCTGCAAGTCTTACTACTTTTCCATTACAGCTGCCGCAGCTAATAGCCGATACTACACGTTCCTCAATACAGGTAGTTCTCAAATTTGGGGTCGCTTCTATAGGGTCCTTTTACCCATACAGCTATAGTCTAGCACCCCGAAAAGCCGCCTTACGACTGCCTTCCCCTCTCGGCTTTGTCGCAGAGGACTGGGTGACGCACCCTGCAAAGCAATGCTGTGCCTCCTTCCCTGCGACAATCTGTACCGCGTCTTCAAGAGATTGGGGCTGGGCTGTTGAGTTTGTATGTGTAGCAGCTGCCACAACTTACTGTAGCCGCGACGACTGATGACTTCCTGCCTGGTGTCTGGATCAAGAGGAGTTTCCGAGTTTCCTTGTCATGTTGGTGATTGATCATGATGCACGTATGATGAAAGCCTTGTCATGCGGAGGCGACAAGGATGCCAAATTCATGACACCGTGCAAAGTCGCCGCTGACTTCATGCCAGAGCAGGCCGGGATGAACTTTTCTGCATGTTCTTCCCGTGTATGTCATATCCGGGTCTTCCCCTTTTTCCAGCTTGCTGCAATGCTGTCTGCTGGTGCACTCCATGTAGTGCATGGCTAAAGCAGCTTCTGTGAGTTGCGTTCGAGCATGCTAGGATCACCAACTTAACAATTTTCAATTTGTGTTTCCTTACCATTGTTCCCTGCAAGCAAGTATACTGGGTCAGACTGCACATTCATGTTCTTGCGATGCTTTGCTTTTCTCTTCTACATGTTCTTATGATGGCGTTCTTGTCTTCATGTGGTACGGCACGAGAACGGCGACAGTGACCCAAGTACATACTTCAAGTCAGCACGGTTTGCAGGGGTCGTCTAGAATGACAGTGCTGCGAGTAGGTGGTTGGACCGCCCTGACTTTGTGTTGAATGTGTGCCTGAGACCCTACACCGTGTCTCCTAATCCCTAAAACCCTAAACCTGAAACCCTAAACCCTAAATCCCTTAAACTCTAAGTCATAACAATCTGCTTGGGGCTGTGAGTCCCTGGACACTTCCTAAACCCACAACCCTAAAACCAAAACCCGAAACCCTAAACCCACAACCCCAAACCCTTATGTTCTGAAGCTTTTTGTTTCGAATCTGGGATCCTCCCCCTGAGTGCTTCGTGTCTGATGGTCCGCGTCACTATAGTCCTGCAGCTCCCAAACCCTTCAACCTCTAGCTGTAAAACCCCGATAGCCCGACAACTCCATAATCCTTGGAACCCCATAACCCCAAAGTCCCAAAGCCCTGCAGCCCCGTATATGTATAACCCTATCAGGCCATGACTCAACCCTATAACCTCCCGCCATGGGAGGAGTTGTACAGCCACTGCGAATTGAAGACGGCAACACGGCTGCAGAGGTTCGGGCGTCCGATGGGCTGTTCGGCCAGCGCACAGGTTAGGGCACCTTGTAGATGGGCCCCTTTACGAGCTCTTTTGAAGGGTTCTTTGTGGATGGATTTACGAGGTTGCTAGCTGTGGGCTGAATAAGGTGTTTTAACAGGATTTTCTTTCAAGGGTTTGAGAAGGAGGAAGCCTTTCCACGATCTGGGTACCGTAATGGCAGGCGCGAACTCAAAACAACCATGCACTTGAACCCTAATGCGGCAAGCTCTATGATCTTGCCGCCCCTAAACCTAAACCCCAAACCCCTAAACCCTAAACCCCAAACCCCTAAACCCGAAGCCCAATGCAATGGTGCCAAGATGCCGGACAACGTGACCTGCGAAGCCGCCGGCTGCACCTACTATCAGGTGGGTGGTTGTCAAAATTATGGTTCCTTTTTGGGTCCTTATAATACGGCACCTAAACCCTAAACCCTAAACCGTATTATTCAGGGTACCCCAAAAGGGACCATACTTTTGAACAACTACCCAGGTGGCCAGGGAAGCGGGGAGCAGAGATCCCCGGCTGCTCGGGGCAACGGTAACAAAAAAAGGTAGCCATAACAACAAAGTTCATGGTTTAAAAATTGTGAGTAAGAATACTAGCAATGCTACTTGTAACAAGACTAATAACAGCAATAAGGATTCTGATAGTCGTAATCATAAGGAGAGTAACAGTAACAGCATTGGTATCATTAGCAGTAGCATGCTGCTGTTGAGGATGTTCATCTGCGAAGCTACGTGAATTGATTGCAAGCGCTGCCAGTATCTGCCAGTGCCATGTTCAATGTATGATTGGCTGCAATTCCCACTCTCATGCGTCTGATCCTAGCCTGGGAGAACTCTGACTTTGTGTCTGGCCGCCTTTCGTGCTGCTTTGTCTGTTGCTGCTGCCGCTGCCGCAGCAGTCGCTGCGCTGTTGCCGTTGTGCTGCTGGTGTTGTTGGTGGTGCTGGTGATGGTTGTGGTTGGGGTGATGGTGGTGGTGGTGTTGGTGGCGGCGGCGGGGTTGATGGTGGTGGCGCTGGCGGTGGCGGTGGCGGTGGCTGTGGCGGTGGTGTTGTTGTTGTTGTTGTTGCTGTTGCTGTTGTTGCTGCTGCTGCTGCTGCTGCTGCTGCTGCTGCTGCTGCTGCTGCCGCGGCAGCCCGCCGCCGCCGCCGTTGGTGTTGTTGTTGCTGCTGCTGCTGCTGGTGGTGGTGGTTGCTGTTCTTGCTGCTGCTGCTGCTGCTGCTGCTGTTGCTGCTGCTGCTGTTCTTGTTGTCGTTGTTGTTGCGGTCGTAGGTGCTGCGGCTGTTTTTTATTATGTTCCTGCTTTGGTCAGAGTGATCATATTCCCTGTACCACCAGCTCATGATGTGATGACGACACGCAGGTTTACCTCTCTCATTCTTATTGCTCCTTCGTTTTGTTGGCGCGATTCTTTGCAGTGTATGTGCACGACTTCCAGCGCAGGAGCACAACTACTGCAGTTGCTCCGAGGAGGCGGGGGCATACCGAAGCTGCATGATCTACCTAGTAGCAGACAGGTTTCAGTCGGCATCGTTTGGGTTTTTAGCCGTGGCCTTAAGCCGTAGCAAAGTCCCATGCTCTAAACCTTTTTCGGATGGACTGCAAGCTGCGAGGTCTGCCCTGCAGCCGGAGGGGTTTGGATGATCCACACGTGCGGGAAGGAATCGTCACACTGGCCCCTCAAGTGGCTCGGCTTGGGCTGAACCTTAGGTGCCCTAAACCGTATAACTCGAACATAAATACGCTTCGAGAGCTGTTCGGAAGGTTTTTGATACATGAGTCAGATTTGGCAAAGTCTTGCAGCATCTTGTCTGTTCGATGCTGATGCTTGCGCCCAGATGTTCGGTTGCTTCTTTGGCCCCCTTTCTAGGGTTAAGGGATATTAAGGGTTTAGTGTAAATCCATTAGTGTCTGCAAGCAGAACGACCTCCAGTCACCTTCAGCAGTGACTGAACGTTTGTCCCGAAGGCACATGAGCCTGGCTTCAGCCAAAAAACCTTCGCAAGTCTTCCGAAGCCCCTAGATTTAGATTGGTAGCGGAGCTTCGGCTCGCTGCCGGGTTCGTAGTTCTGTACGTAGTGGTTTGCACGCCTCCACATGAGTGCTCCTCGTCTTGAAACGTTTCTTGGTGGCGGTGATGCTCCCGAACATGATTCTGCACCGGGAGATAGAGATGGCGGCCGTACCGCTCATGCAGACAACGATCCTGAGCCAGGCGTCCGTGACGATCGTGCTCGGGCCGATGAGAGCAGCGTTCGATCATTCCTGGCGCAGCTCCTGGGGATGGAAGGGAGGCCAGCGTGGCTGGTGGGGACATTCTTGACAAGATGGGTACTGGCGAAACGGCTACGGGGTGGCCAGCTCTGGTACAGATTGGGGATGGAACAGACAACAGAGCTGAGGCGATATTTGGGGAACATGATCTAGGGGACCTGGCTCTTCGGGCAGCGAACCGCCTGCTCCCTTCCAAACCCAACGAGAGCCTCCTCGCGAAGATGATCCCGCAGGAGATGAAGGGAAGGCCAGCGATCCGAGCGAACTACCAGATGGTGGGACCGTGGCTTGGCTGAGGTGCCTGAGCTTGACGAGACTGCCGCTCAGGAGACCGGGCTTCGTTACGAGCATGCGGGACGACCAATTTGTTGCTCGCTCATTGGTCAATGCTTACTTGTGGTCTCCGTGCGCAAGACTCGGCAATGTTTGCGGAAAACGGATGCGAGGGTCCGGCCCTGAAGCCCTCCGCTGCCAAAACTCCCGCTGCCAACACTCGCTCGGGCACAAGGGCCCTAGCTGCCCCCTGAAACAGACTGGCTCAGGAAGCACGTCTACGGCTGCGACCTCCGGATCGTTTTCTACTTCTGCTCCCACAGTTCCTGCCAGCGCAAGACCGCATATCCTTGTACACATGTTGTTCATGTCACATGGGACATGGGCTCGATAGGGGCTCACAGCTATTATAGATACAGCATTCTCAAAGACGGTAGCAGGACCCTTTTGGGTCGAGAAGTACCATAACGAGGCCAAAGATGCGGGTTTCTCTCTCTCATTTGTGGATTGCCAGGATAAGTCAAGTTTGGAGCATCCTAGGTGTTTCACGCCACATCCGCCGTGATCATCTCCTTTATGCTGGGTACTCACGAGATCCTTCTAAAGGTGTCTGTCGTACAGGGCGATGCGCCGCTTCTCCTTTCAAGGCCCGTCTTCGGAAGGCTTGGAAGTCTGCTCGATGTATCTTAGAACAGTGCTTCTTTGCGGCAAGTGAATGTCTCGGACTACCCTCTTTCGACCACCGAGACGGGGCATCCAGCTCTGCCGGTTCATCCTGTGAGTGTCTCCGGTCTGAGAGCCGGGGCGACGCCGAGATCAAGATCTGTCAGCGCTTTGAGTCATACAAGCTTCCTAGAAAGAGTGCGAAACCAGTTGCCCAAAGGCCTACATACTCTTGTTTTCCAGCAGAAGCGTCTTCTACTTCGTCGTTCGCAATGTCAACCTCACCCGAAGGGCCCAGAAGGTCCGGACTCTAGTGCCCAACGTCGCTTTCAGGAAGACTTTAAGCTCCTGCAGAACTTGAGGGAACAACGCCACGAACCTCAATGTCCTGAACACGGTCAACCACCAGCACTTCATCATCGGGCTCATGGACCTCCTCTTCGCCGAGATCATCCACCGATTTCAAAGTGTCCACTTTCATGGCATGGTGGAATCAAATTAACATTTCGAACGATTTCTGAGTCGAAGATGAGCATGCTTGTCAGAGTGCATGTTGTCCCCCGAAGATATACCTTCTGTCCTGCTATGTCGAGCGAAATCAGCAGCACAAAGCGAAACTCATGAAGGCTCTTGGCAATGCCAAGGTCACTGAAGCTGTCGCACGCAAGACTTCCCGAGCGCTCTCTCCTCTACGAGGTTCCTGGACAGACTGTGATCAAGAGGCCTCCTATCCATGTTTGTGGATCGGTCGTTCAGTTTTCGCTCGAGCGCCTACGTCCGCAGTGAACGACGAACTCTCCAATTCGACCGTGTTCCCTGGCCCCCAAGAACAAGCTCAACTTCGTTGCATCCCGCAACCTTCCAATCCACCCGTCCTGGAACATGGAGGAGATTCGAAGCGTCATCTAGGACGACTGCGCCAAGCAGACAGTGATCCCGCCAGGCACCAAGATCCCACCGTTTCTCGGGAAGATGACGGAGCTTCGGGAGGCGGTGATCAACGCAGGACTGCAGGTGCCGCAACGAGCTACTCGCAGTCTACTCACTCATGAGAATGGGGAGACATCAAGGCAGCAAGTGGGACAATCGGAGCCTTCTCCGCCCACCAGGCCAAGCCGTTAAGACCCTAAACCCTTTCTTGAAGGAGGTCTGAGTGCCTCCAAGTTGTCCAGCAGGATCCGTGAGACCGAGCCGAACCCGGGCGCGGGCCACGCAAGGCGGCATACCCATCTCTGACCGGACTCCCCCACAATGTCCTCCACAGCTTCGGCCGCCAGCGAGATGAGCCAGGACGTGGACCCGGATGTGATGGAGGAGCTCCAACACCGCTTTCCGACTCTGTCGACAACCAACTCGCTGACAATAGGGCCGTGGTCCTTCAGGCCCCTGTTCACAACGAAGCTGGTTGTCTCTTTGGGCTCATAACCTCTATGCCTTTTCCACCTTCCACGAGACTTTCCTCCATGAGATACGCCAGGTGAAAGTCAACTTCATCGACAACAAGCACGTGCCGGGAATTGGGCCTGACAACATACTTGTGTTCTTTTCCTGCGTGACTACGAATAAAATCTCGGGCGTCCCTCCCGAAACGATATGGCGCCATCTGCGCCTTGCTGATGCTGGCGTGGACAAGTTCGGGCTTCCGCTTCGACTACGACAACTGCGCCAGTGACCAAATGCTACAGAACACAGGGGCCGCAGTGTGACGACGAGAACGAGGCAGCCGAAGTCGGACTTCCTCTAGACGAAGCTCTACTACAAGACGTCAACATGGTCAAGCTCCCCAAAACTGCCCGAGGAAAGGAGAAAGCTCTAGAAAAAAAGATACCGTTTTCTGCTATTCCTGAAGTGCAGAAGGCCGCCTTCATTGCCGCCGAAAAGAAACAGTGGGATGAACCCACGTCAAGTACCAGGCCCTCGACCCCCTGTTCGGTGCAAGCCAGCAGACAAGGCGTGCTACCCAGCAGCTTTGCTTACAAAGACTAGGCATGGAGCAAGAGGAAGCTCGATACCAACTGCCACGCTCCTACGATCTCTCGTTAAGGAGTTCTTCTGATCTTTCAGATCCTCGCGAGCAACCTTGAGGCAGGATAGGATCGGCTGGATATGCTAGCGACATCGCAGCTGCTTTTCTAAGCGGACGTGATGTCCAGAGATAGCTGTTCCTAAGGCAGCCGAAATCGGGTTTGGGAAACTTACATCCCGAACAGCTGATCCGTATACGCAAGCCTTTATTCGGCTTGGTCGATTCTCCGGCCACCTGGTGGACCACCCCGCAAGAGACTCTGAGGTCCCTCGAGGTCACGACGACGAAGGCAAGACGTGGAGAGTATGTCAATGTGCCCTTAACCGCTGCATTTTCATGGTGCAGCAGGTCACAATTGTCGATGGCGGCGAGAAACTGAGCGCGCCCCAGGCCTACTAGGCGTGCACGTGGATAATATCTTGATGGTCGGAGTTCCTTCTCTCTGCCAGCTTGCGCAGAAGAAGCATGGCGAACCAATTCCTATTGAAGAATGGGAGCAAGGAAGCTTCGAATACGTGGGCTCTTTCGTTGAGGTTGGAGACAAAACCGTGAAGGTATCTCAGTCTGGCTACGTGGGATCCCCACTTTGTCATGTGGGTGCTGCCTGACCAGAACGATTTGCAAGCGCAAGTCGACCTGACCTCCAGGCCTCCGTCTCAATGTGTCAGCAACGTCAACGAGCGCCTTTGAGTGCAAGACGTTCGTTTTACCAACCAGCAACCAGGTAGCCTTGGAGCATCAACGTGAAGGAATCACGCTACATGCTGTTCCTCTCGACCGAGCTGTACTTCTTTGCTACCATGATGCCGGTTGGGCAAATGTACCTTACGACGAAGCCGACCTCTTCTACAAGCTGGAGGACTCCGAGAATGAAGCTGGCCTCATCAAAGGCCTCTTTTTGGATAGGGAACGAAAGGCATGAGAAGCAACTCTAGCATCGCCTCCCAACCTGGCGCTCTTTATGTGCTGAGCGACGACAACATCCTCACCGCACCCTGACTGGAAGAGTTCGATTCCAGGCCCCCGAGGTGCATGCGCTTACTTGCTGCCTGCTTCGCCACTGCTGATCCTGCAGCCGGAGTGGAGGGATCCTGTCACTTGTCCTTTCAGAAAGCAAGACCCAGTTTCCCGCAAGTGGCGCCAGGGCGTTGCGATTCAAGTTTGCACCCTCAAACTTGCAGAAAATACATCACGATGGGAGCCAATCGTGGTAACCCAACTCGAAGAAAGCATACTCCTCAGCTTAGTGAGAAGGAATCCTGAAACTGTTTGATTCTGATTCCACCCCGTGCTTGGCAATTCGCGCGGCGTCGATGATGCACCGGGGATGACGATTCAACTGCGCCACAAAGCGTCACTTCTCGTGAGATTTTGTTGCTGGCCGGATTACCGCGGCTGGCTTGGCTATGAGCCGCGGCAGACTTGAGCTGGCAAGAGTTAAATCCCTTTACGACAATTTGTCAAGAGAGGGTCTACCTCGTGCCATCATGCAAGCGGCTTCCCATCGACCTTGCGGCCATCAGAACGGACTTGGCCCACTTTGGCAAACTTACTTGGGTCCCAACTCAGGCCCAGATGTCAGATATTCCCACAAACCTATGAGAGCATCAGAATGGTGGAAGTCCTGGGAGAAGGTGTAACATTGACTTTCAGGGAGGTCGAGAGTGTTATTTGAGCAACGTAAATCTATTAGCGTCTGCAAGCAGAACGACCTCCAATGAGACCTTCAGCAGTGACCGAACGATTGTCCCGATTGCACATGAGTTTGGCTTCAGCACAAAGACCCTCGCGAGTCTTCCGAAGCCCTTAGATTTAGATTTAGGGTTTGGGTTGCCTTTTTGGCCAATTGATGTTTTATCGTTGTCTTATTTTGTTCTGCTCGTCTATGAAAGTTTCGCCAGATATTTGGACGTAGGGCATCTTTTCATGTAGCATGCAGCATGACATCCCCAAACTTCGCAGTCCTCAAGTCCGGATAAGACCAACCGCCCTTCGAGAAAGGGGGACTGTGTTTCAGGAGTCTAAATGAAGCCCAAAACCCTAAACACTAAACACAGAAGCCTTTCTGAACGGAACCTATGATGTCGCAGGATGCATCGAGCCATGCAGGACCGGGTGTCTGACGCTAAGCCGTGAACCCTCCCAACCCTAAGCCCTAAACCCGAAACTCTAAAGCCCTAAATCCTAAATTTCCAAAACTTTTCTAAACACTTTAAGCCACACTTTAAGCCCTCTCAGCCCTCCGCTCCACACATGACAGCCCAAGCCCCAAGTTCGCCTTTCACGCAGCTTGTGCACAGGAGGCCGCTGAGGAGGGTAGCTGCGCGGATCTCGAGTATGAGGGAGACCTCCAAGGGGAGACGCAGTGGATTTCCCAGAAACTCAGTAGCTGACTACGAAGTTTTCGACGCTTTGGGTTATCTTGAATCCTACCATACAAAAGGGTTGGGTCTCGTGGGGCCAGGCAACTCTGCAGCTAAGGAAATGCTGTGCCTCCTACCCAGCCTCAGTCTGCAACCCCACGGCCAAGAGGATGACGCCTTGCGAGAGCGAGGCCGACTTCATCCCGACGAACGTTTTGCACGAGTGGTGTGAAGTCACTCCGGTTCCCGATGCCAGCACCTGTGCGAGCCACGGGTGTCACGGGGACGGCAGCTACTGCCATTGTACCAGCCATAGCAGCTGCGCGTCCCTTGGTGGGTCATGGAAGACCAGCACCTGCGGCGAGGACCTTGGCCATAAGGATGTTGCATGGCACCAGGCTGTGGCGCAGGCCTCCGGCGAGGGCACCTGTACGGAGTCCAGAGTGCACGACAGCACCGTGGAGGACGCGATCTCCTGGAGCAGTCGGAAGTGCTGCGCTTCCTACCCCGCCAACGTTTGCTACAAGGGTTTGAAAAAGATGACGCCATGCAAGGACGAGGCGGACTTCTTGCCGGGCCACTTCCTCCATGAGTGGTGCGAGTTTCACGGGGCGGTCCCGGAAACATGCGGCACGACCCCTGGCTGCCACGGCGGGGAGGGCTGGTGCCACTGCGACAACTACGAAGCCTGCACTGCGGCTGGGGGAGCCTGGAAGCAGCGGACCTGTGATTCGGGAGTTCAAGAATGGGACTCCAAGAAACACCTAGCGGTGCAGAGTGCTGCCACGGGCAGCTGCGAGGATGTTGATTGGCACGGACAGCCGATGTCGGTTGCGTTGCAGCACGAGTCCTCGAAGTGCTGTGCCTCCTACCCGGCCTCTGTTTGCGACCCTACCGCCAAGAAGATGACGCCTTGCAAGGACGAAGCCGACTTCATGCCGTCGAACCCTCTGCACCAGTGGTGTGAGTTGCACGGTGCGTCGGTCGACTCGGACACCTGCGCGGCCCACGGCTGCAATAGCCACAATGGCCATTGTCATTGCGACTCGCAAATGAAGTGCGATGGGGTGGGTGGCACGTGGAAGGTGACCACCTGCGACATGGAGATCGGCCACTGGGAACCCGCGAAGCACAAGGCTTTGCAAGAGGCTTACGAGAACGGCACCTGTGGTGTCGACAACACGTACGGCGATCTGGTCAGCATGATTGACTATCCAGCCCGGCAGTGCTGCGCCTCCTTCCCAGCCACGCTCTGCGACCCTACCGCCAAGAAGATGACGCCTTGCAAGGACGAGGCCGACTTCATGCCGTCGAACGTCGTGCACGAGTATTGTGACCTGCATGGATCCTCGGTGGACTCGGACACCTGCACGGCCCACGGCTGCCGCAGCAACAATGGGCATTGTCATTGCGACTCGCAGCCAAGCTGCGAGGGGGTGGGTGGCACGTGGCAGGTGACCAGCTGTGAGATGGAGATCGGCCACTGGGAACCCGCGAAGCACAAGGCCTTGCAAGAGGCTGACGAGAGCGGCACCTGTGGTGTCGACAACACGTACGGAGATCTGGCTATCATGATCCAGCATTCCGCGACGAAGTGCTGCGCCTCCTTCCCCGCCACGATCTGCGACAAGACCGCCCGCCACATGACTCCATGCAAGGATGAGGCCGACTACACCCCGGACAAGGAGATGTACGCCTGGTGCGACTTCTACAGCGATGGGGCGGTTCTGCCCGAGGAGCCGAGTTCACAGACTGCGACGTAGCATGACATTGTAGCACTGATGCGCTCCTCGTCACCGCTCTTCTCCCCTACATTTTGCACCATCAATCCCTTTTTTCAGGTTTTCTTTCCAGATCTTCACAGCGCTGCCTCGCCAGGAGACGGTCTGCAACGCTCAAGAAGGCTGTTATGGAGGACAGGGCTGGTGCCACTGCGAGGACCGCGCCAGCTGTGAGGCCGTAGGTGCCTTCTGGAACGCGCACACCTGCGCGAAGGAGGTGTCTCAATGGAGGCCCAAGGGCTGCAGCCACGGTCATAAAGGAACTCCCCTAAAGCCCTAAAGGCCCAAGTGACCCCTATCCATACTGAAGGTAGGAGACTGGTGCATGGCATTTTTAGAGCCTGGTCCGGCCCCCGCTTCGACCCTGAGCTCTGAGACCCTCAAGTAGTCTTCCTGACCGGGTCAAGGCCGCCAGACGGTGAAGAGCTCTAACAACAAACCCCAAACTCCACACCCTAGCTTGCCCGACTGCCCCGACAGTCCGGAGCAGCACAAGATGTTGCAGAATGCGGACGAGCACGGCACATGCCTCGACCTTGAGGCCTGAAACCTCCGTGCGGAGTAGCACCATAGCAGTGGCAGTCGCAGTAGCCGTTGCTCGCCGTGCTCGTAAAGGTCCTGGAAGAACTCGTCGTTGTCGCAGCAGTCGCAGAAGCAGTAGCAACAGCAGTTTAGCAGCCAGTAGTTGGTAGCAGCAGCGGCGGCATAGCAGCAGTAGTAGCAGCAGCAGTGGCATTCGCAATGGCAGCAGCAGTCGCAGTGGCAGTGGCAGTCGAGCATAGTGGTGCTAGCACTACCATCACCACATATGGTACTACCACTACACTACCCACTACCCCTACCCCCTACACCTACCACCTACTACGACGACTACTCCTACAACTACTACTACTACTACTACCACCACCACTACTACTACTACTACCACCACTATTACTACCACTACTACTACTACTACTACTACTACTGCTACTACTACTACTACTACTACTACTACTACAGTACTACTACAGTA